CTGGAAGCGTGCGAGGCGGGACTGGGAACGGTGGCTTGGAAATAAAAGAACTTGCTGCCGAGTGTCGTGGGTCGGAGGCGGGTATGCGGCGTTGGTTCCCGCGGGCTGGGTGACGCAGGCGACTCGGAGCTGGAGCAGCTGCCACAAGCAGCAGGGTGCTAAACCCATCAGGGTGCTGTGAGCTGGGATCTTTCATTCTCCTGGATGCAAAAACAAAAGGCATTTTTGGTTTTAAATACAGAAATTCTTTCTTTAGATCTCCATAGATTGTGTGTACACAGTATGCTCTACAGATATTGGTTACAAATACTTCTGAAAATAGTTCACTTCTGGGTCTCTTTAGCATATGTAGCCCTACAAAAACCCAAAACAAAACCATAAAGTTTTTTCTCCTCTTCAGGATCAGGACTAAAAACATTTAGGATAGTGGGTAAGCAGTTTTTAGTTGAGCTGTGTCCGGTGATTTAACTGTTTCCAAGTGTCTATAAAGCTATATTCATGTGAACATACTGTTAAAGGACATTAGTGGGTTTTTTTACTAGACCAGTGTAGGAATGTAAAAAATGACAATGCTCTTGTAAAGCAGGCAATAGACCTGCTCTTTTATTTTCCTTTTATCTGAATCAAATGCAGAGGGGTGCTGGTAGATAATTTTTACTGTCTCCTCTGCATGTCACATCCCCCCATTTTTATTTTTTTTTTAACTAGCAAGTTTTATGTTGTTAGCAGGTAATCTGGTAGTACGTGCTAGTTCTGTTTGAAAGTGTAATAGCATCTGCCATAACTAGTCAGGTAAACTACCTGAGTACAGTGTTACTCAGTCAACTAACTCTGCAGATTTTAACCTAAGTCTTCTGTGAAGCCAGCCTTACTGGGAAAACGCCTTTAGGAAAGGTTAGGTTCCTTTGTATTGTGTAGACAGGATTGGAATAGTAACAGCGTGATTAATACTATAACAACCTGAAGTAGAAGTGGTTTCCTGCTTGTGAGAAACCAAAAATCAAAGAGAGTATGTCTCAGAACACATCGGGATCACAGGAAAGTACACACAATTTCCTGATTTCTTCTGTAATTTGCACATGACTAGACGCTACCAAAACCTGCAATCTCACTTACTTAGCAAGTATACACTATAACAACCTGAAGTAGAAGTGGTTTCCTGCTTGTGAGAAACCAAAAATCAAAGAGAGTATGTCTCAGAACACATCGGGATCACAGGAAAGTACACACAATTTCCTGATTTCTTCTGTAATTTGCACATGACTAGACGCTACAAAACCTGCAATCTCACTTACTTAGTGAGTATACACATCAATAGTAAAGAAAAAAGTAGAAAGTAGAACTTTTAAAACTTTATTTGAAAACAATCAAACAAGTGAACAATGTTCTGCAATTTTTTTTTTTCAATAAATTTTTCCAAGCTTCAGTTTTCTAAATAGTCATCTCCTTCTTCAGCCTCTGCTTCTACTGAGTCTATGCCAACTTCTTCATAATCTTTCTCAAGGGCAGCCAGATCTTCCCGGGCTTCAGAAAATTCTCCTTCCTCCATTCCTTCCCCAACATACCAATGTACAAAGGCACGCTTGGCATACATGAGATCAAATTTGTGGTCGAGGCGAGCCCATGCTTCAGCAATAGCAGTTGTATTACTCAGCATACACACAGCCCGCTGCACCTTTGCAAGGTCACCACCTGGCACCATAGTTGGAGGCTGGTAGTTAATGCCCACCTTCAAGAAAACAAATGAAAACTTTCCTTGTAAGTGCTAAGGCTTAAAGACTTATTTCTGTTAACAATAAAAAAAAAAAATCACCATGGTTACAAACAAATAAAATAGTTTACCCTTATTTTACCCTTCATCAAAGTATTTAACAGGGACATTACAAGACTGTAGAATGACTGTGACCTCTGAATACCATTAGCTCAATTCCTAGTAATTCAAACATCAAGCACATAAAAAGCTATGTAAGTACCTTGAATCCAGTTGGGCACCAATCCACAAATTGAATGGTACGTTTAGTCTTGATCGTAGCAATAGCTGCATTGACGTCTTTGGGAACAACATCACCTCTATATAACATACAGCAGGCCATGTATTTGCCATGGCGAGGGTCGCATTTTACCATCTGGTTGGCTGGTTCAAAACAAGCATTGGTAATTTCAGCCACAGACAACTGCTCATGATAAGCTTTTTCAGCAGAGATGACAGGGGCATATGTTACCAGGGGGAAATGGATTCGTGGGTATGGAACGAGGTTAGTTTGAAATTCTGTCAGATCTACATTGAGGGCGCCATCAAAACGCAATGAAGCTGTGATGGATGAAACAATTTGCCCAATTAATCGGTTTAAATTGGTATAGGTAGGACGTTCGATGTCAAGGTTACGACGACATATATCGTAAATGGCTTCGTTATCTACCATGAAGGCACAGTCTGAATGCTCTAATGTTGTGTGGGTAGTTAGAATTGAGTTGTAGGGTTCCACTACAGCAGTAGAAACTTGTGGTGCTGGATAAATTGCAAACTCTAGTTTAGATTTTTTGCCGTAGTCAACAGAGAGCCTTTCCATGAGCAGAGATGCAAACCCTGAACCAGTGCCTCCTCCAAAACTATGAAAGATAAGGAAACCTTGCAGCCCTGTGCACAGATCAGCCTATAATGGGGTGGAAGTGGGAGAAAAAAAAAAAAGTTATTGATGATTTTGGAGAAAACAGTATTAAAATAATCATTCAAAAGCATTTAAGTTTGTTAGTTTTAGATTGTTACAATAAAAAAACCAGCATTCTTGAAAGGTGGTCTTCCTTTTTTTTCTTGCATGTCTTTTACTCGAAAGTACCAGTGCCTCTGCATAACTTTTTCTGAATAGGAGTATTTTAATATTTAAAAGTTGCTTTGTCTTTGATGCCATTTTAATACTACTGTAAGCAAGAGCAGCTGTGCACCACTGTGACAAGTTACTACAAATTACAGCTGGGTTACGGCTTTAGAATCTGTTCATGTTCCCATTCTAGCTTTCAGCAAGTATCAATTAGATGTTGAAAACAAGTTGGGGTTTTTTATTTTTGTAATTTTAAATAGACAATCACTATTTCACTTTGAATCATATCATCCTACGTGAGTTTCTCACAATGCAATGTCAAGATAAAAAAAAAAAAAAAAAAAAAAGAGAGAAGTAATTAAAATTGCTAAACATTCAACCAAAACCTGAGGTTCAAGCTACTAGAAATATTTTGTGTGACACATAATGGCATGATTCAAACTGAAAATAACAAACAAGAAAGTATAACAACATTATTACACTTGTTTAAGGCTTTTATAATATGTTTCCGAGGTATCCTTAAAGTACTTTCAAATAGTGGTATTTCAGAGCCTAAAAAAATTTAAGTTTTACTGACTGAATTTTTATTTAACTGGGAGCAGGGGGGTGGAGGGCAAGGAGATACAAATTTTGTCTTCATTTAAACTATCAACTATGAACAAAATTCTTAAAGGAAAAACATAGCAAGCCATATAGCTATGGAGCTGTATGAATTACTTTAAATACTGACTTGCAGCATGAGTTCTTACCAGTTTGCGAATGCGGTCCAGGACTAGATCAACAATCTCTTTTCCAATGGTATAATGGCCTCTGGCATAATTATTGGCTGCATCTTCTTTCCCAGTAATGAGCTGCTCAGGATGGAATAACTGCCTATATGTGCCTATACGCACTTCATCTACAAAAAAACCCAAAATACCACAACATAAATTTAATCTGTTCAGTTCTGCATGTTGCCTAGTGACTACACACTAAGTGCACATGTCAAAAGAGTCTAGACAGCATCCCTGACTACATGCAGCTTGTCTGACTAGTCTAAAAAGTTGTCACAACTTCGGCCCCTTTGCTTAGGTGAAAACATCAGGCACTCACAAAGCAGTATTTGTACCTGAGAACACAGAGGTCACTCGGAAGACGACATTACACGTACAGACCAGATTCCAGATCGCAATTAAACAAAACTCTGGATGCAGTACAGCAGTCTAGAAAGATTATCCAGACCGTAAAAAAGTTCTATTGTTTTCCAGATGTTGTTACCTGTAGACTGTAATTTAATTTCTTGCACATAACAATGACCTCAAATGTCAAAATGGTATCCAGACACACATCTTTTAAAATCTATAGTATTCTGAACAAACAAAAAAGACTGCAGGGAATCTGTAGATTGAAGATCTTACATTGAAAGATCTTTAATGCTGGGTACATACCAACTACGGTTGGCTCTAGGTCCACAAACACTGCTCTGGGAACATGTTTACCAGCTCCTGTCTCGCTGAAGAAAGTGTTAAATGAATCGTCTCCACCTCCAATAGTTTTATCACTAGGCATTTGACCATCAGGCTGGATCCCATGCTCAAGACAATACAATTCCCAACATGCATTGCCAATCTGAACACCAGCCTGACCAACGTGGATGGATATGCACTCACGCTGCAAATTAAAAGCAGAACAATGATAATGAGATATGGAGCTACCTGTCCTCTAGACTTTATTCTCATAATAACTAGCTGTCTGTGGGCTGTATCTTTCCATGATCTTTCTCTGCTGCAGTATTCCCTGGTTGCTCTTGAGTGACAATTTAAGTCATCAAATTGTCCACCACTTGCAAGACTCTACCCACCTTAGTTCACCTGGGCTGACTTTGAGAATATTGGAAGATCTTAAAGACAACATAGTCTCTATGAACACGAGCTGAATACACATTCATTATCCTTTACCATGCTGCACATATATAATATCCTGCCTAGTCTCTTTTTCGCTTTCCTTTAGTTTTGGAAGACTTCTTTATATAATATCTCCAAATTTCCTTATTTCTTGCCAAATCATGTATTGCATAACTGTTGCAAGAATCTTTCATGCACAGGACTACCTAGTATGTTTTCCTCTATACGCAGCACAGAGATTACCTATCTCCTGGCAATTCATACATATTTGAGTTCCTCCGTGAAATCATCTGAGAGTGCCAATCAAGTATCTGCCTACTTTTAGCCGGCTCCTTTGATTCCAAGCAACTGTGCCGCATATGTTTAATCTCTCAATACCTCAATTTTGTCTTTCACCCGATATGGAAATAAGCTGGTTTTCTAGCTTACTGTTACAGTGTATCTAGGAAAAAGCAGAGGTGGAAAAGTAGGGTATCGGGGCTGCTCCTTCCTATTTTCTTGATAGCTTCACCAAAACTTGTACCCTTGATTCCACGTTTTAATTCTCACCCCCGTGGTTCTGTCGGAAGTCTTTTGCCAGCGAGACTAACCCTGTGCTTATTTCCACTTCCAGCCGGTGGGCACCAAGCCTCCAAAGCTCTCCCGCCGCCTCACCGTTTCCCGCC